GTTAAAAGGTACTGCTCATAGTCAATAAATGAAACATTTCGGAACCATCAATTGTATGATTCATATCCTCTACCATGCTCAGCCAAATCTGCCATGAAATGTTTCTTCTTATGTAGCAGTTGTTAACATTTCCTGACGTTTACCTTCATGGACTCCAAATCACTTATATTTTTATTCATTAGTGTTTCCGCATAAAATTTGACGTCTTTCTTGGTTTCAATTTTTATGTTCTTAGGAGATTGATAAGATGCTGCCATCTGCACCACCGCCCGAACCAAAATATCAGCTTCGTAGAACGTCATCAGCTCCATTCTAACAATTGGCCTAGTGGCTAGTGTGAAAGTTTTGCATATACAAACCAGCTTCTGGCTTCTGTTTCTAGCTTCAATTGAGGGATTAGTTAAAAGGTGAGTACCACAATCTGCGATGTATCGCCTGGAAGTTGCCATTGTTTCGAATGCCATTGATGGTTGCTTTGTACTTGTACGAGTTTCTGTTCATGTATCTACTTCTTACGATGAAATATCAATTCAAACTAGAAAACTTCATGTTACATTTCCTACTCTCTAACCATTAAAGATAGTAAGGCTTGCAGGGAATATCTTGTTTTGTGTCATTTCTCTCTCTTGATACGATCATTTCACCATCTTAGCAAAGTTTATCGTACAAACACACATGTGCATGTATGTGTGTACGTGTGCATGCATAGATGATAGATACATGCATGCATACAAGGATAATCTGAGATCCCTTGTTGAAAGAATCCTCGTCCATATTGGCTTCATCTACAATGATGGGAGTGCCGCTGGTATTTGACGTCCATAAAGAAAGGGGAATTGGGTTGCAGTATGTTCAAGTATAAATTGGTAAGGTCCAGTACAGCCAGCTACTTTTGCCACTTGGAAATCGATTCAGAAGTGGAAAGGTCTGTCTCCGAGGATCGGATTTATTCTTCCTGATCTCACTTCAGGTGTGGAAAGCACACCTTTGTCGCTTGTGAATGAGGTTGATGATGAAAAGGGGCCTGCATACTTCACGTATTCTCCAACTGTCAATTATATGATATCATTCAAGCTAGTGCAACCTTCAAGTGGAATTTCGAAACTAAAGTACCGAAGATTTCGATATCCCACTTCCCGTCATCATAAGTTCAAAGAACAGTGCAAATGTAGCTCTATATATGAACCATGGTTGCTCTCCGGGTGTTTTCTGGGAGCCAGTCATGTATGAAAGCAATAACGAAGCGTTTCTCCATATTGTTTTTTTTTTTTTGCAAAGAAATACATCCCTATCTCGACTGAGTTGAACATTCAATTACGGTATTCCGCAATCGGCGAAATGCCGAGGTTATTTGTATTGAGCTTCCGATTGCATGCAACTCGTTATGCATTTCATCTTTAATGTTTATAGCTTGTTCTTCTGCAGCCTAGCTTGATCTTCTGCAATGGCTGCCATTAATTGCAGAGGAACTGGAAAATGTATATGGCAATATCATGTCCGATGGTGTTTTTGTAGGCTATTTCAAGTTAAGTTAATGGCAAACTACTTTGTACTTCACTTTCATCTACAACCGACATGCATGTCAATATCATCAAACCAAGTGAATATAAAAAAAAACTTTTAAGATTTTACCACAATTTCTATCTACATATCATCAATGGTTAAAATATAACATGATAAATTAATGGTTAAATTATGTGTACGGTCATTACTCTTCACGCACTTGAAACTTGATCATTCTGTTTTTTATTTTCAGAAATGTATTCATTTTATTCCGTTAATTTAAAAATTTAGGTCCAATTGTTAACACTGTAAAAATAGAACAATTTAAATTCATGTTGAATTGTTAGTACTGTTCAATTCAAATCCAAGTTTTCAACATAAACCTCTACAGTTTTTAGTTTTAGACTTCTCTAATTCAACAAAAGCGCTAACAATTGTACATAAATTTAGTGAAGTGAAGTGAATCTATTTTAACGGTGTTAACAATTAGTCCTAAGCTTTTAAATTGAAATTGTAAAGAGATTAAATCCCAAATCAATGTACACATGGGACTTGGAACATATTTAACCTAAATTAGGAGTAATTTGAAAGTTAAGCAATTGAATTAAAAAAATTAAACTCTGGTGACCAAAATAGGTGTGAAAAGATAGTTGAGTGATGAATGATGCAATTTACTCATAAAAAGGGTGTCATGTGCAAATCACCCGTTAAGTTTTTAAAGGCTAGGTACTAAAACGAAACAAAAACTAAACATTAGGTATCTTTTAAAAAATTAAAAGTTTAAGTATTAATACATATCAAAATTAATAGTTTAGGTATTAAATGCATAATTTATCATTTTTTTATAAATTCTAAATATAATTTTAATCTTATTTAAAGGAAAAATAAATAAATTCTAAGGGAAGAAAAAATACTCTTAATAACTCTAAAATCTATTATCTAAAAGAATATGAAAAAAATTGAAGATGAATAATTCAACTAACGAACTAATGTGTTTATTCTACAAAAGCCAATTTCTTTTATTAAACTAAGGTGATTACAAAGTAATATATATTCTAAATAATCTCAACCATTTTTACAATGAATACTTAATCACCCTACTGTAGTTACTGATGTTCAAACTCATGACCTCTAAAAATACAACTCTTTTAACTACTTAGATGAGTTGGTTCTTGCACAAAAGTCAAAATTCTATGAATGAAATTGTCGTCAAAATTTCATGTTAATTTTTAATTTTTTAGATTAGAATTCAAGTTGTTAATTGTAGCACGTGTTATTAAATTTAAGAATAAACTATATAAATGTCTCCGATTATAGGTATTATTTTGTTAAGTCATTAGATTATTAAAAGTTATAAAATAATCTTACAATTATAGGATGTTATTTTGTTAAGTCCATCAACAATCAAAAGTTACAAAATGGTCCTTTGAATATTTGTATATTCCAAACTCGTCATTTTTCATTAAAAAATTGACGGCAGTCTAAGTCGGACATTAAATTTACAGACTGAGATATGATAAAATATAATCCTAGAATCTCAAACAACTATCATATCTCAATTAGTATGCTAACGTTCAATTTAGATGACTATAAATTTTTTAACTAAAAATGAAGAGTTTGAAAATGTGAATAGTCGGAGATTATTTTGTGACTTTTAGTAGTCGGGACTCAACAAAGTAATGCCCTAAATTAGAGGATCATTTTATAACTTTTAATAGTTAAGGGATAAAAAATAAAACCATATACTTGGAGGATCATTTGTGTACTTTACCCCCGATTTAAATGTCAATAGCGCCAGCTAGTTGTAGCTTACGGAAATGCAACTGATAAAATCAATAATACAATTATTATGTTATTTAATTATAATCCCTAAAAAAAGGAAAAAGAAAAGGAAAAACAGAATCCCTTGTCCCTGTTTCCACTCTTCTTTTTATCGACACCCGTTCTTACTTACGTTTATTTCCTCAAGAAAAGCTTAATGGCGTTTGAATCCTCTTTAAGAAGAGGGAATCCAACTCCTTCGTCGACCTTCACGTCGTCTAACTCTTCCAGAAGAGCTACGGCAGCTCCTCCTCGGAGATCCAGAAGCGTAAGTGCCTTCTCAAGAATCTCCAATTCCGACTTCTCCGACTTCTCCATTAAAAGAGACAATCCTCTCTTTGACAACAACAACAGCAACAACAACAGCAACAGAAACAGCAACAGCAACAGAAACAGCAACGAAGACTATGGCGAAGTTGGGTTGCGAAATTCCAGCCTTGAATCCGTCAGAATCACTTCCAAAACGAAGCCCAAAGCTACCGCCGCTGACGATTATAATAGTAAGAGAGGCAGATCTGTTTCCAGATTTGGCTCCGATGTAAAACACGGGTCGGGTTCGGCGAATAGCAAGGAGTTGTCTCGGAGCTTGTCCGTTGTGGATACAAGGAGACGTGGTCGCTCCGTCTCCCGTAATCCTCCACTTTCAAGAACCCAATTCGCTACATCTGAGGTTTTGCTGACTTTCAATTCCATTTAAAAAAATGTGATTTCTGTTCAATTTAATTTCAAATAGGAGTATTTTGAATGAATATTTTGCACAGGGCTGAGAAAACATTGAGAAAACCGAAAATTGATTATAGCTGTACTGCTCTAATGTTCCTTCGGCTTTGACTCGGAGTTTTTTTTTAAACGACTGGTTTTTTATTCTAGTAATGGAAATCTATATTAAGTTATTGGCTGAGAACTTAAAGACAGTTATTGTTCAAATTGAAATGGACCGAATTTTATTTATTTATTTTAATTATTTTGATTTTTTAAAACATAAAAATGAATATTTCATTATTTAAATTACTGAAAAGGCTTAAAAACAAAATATAGTAATCCCCCCCCCCCCCAATTGAATCATAATTTTGCTTAGATCTGAAAATTTGAACATAAATGTTAAGTCAATGTATTTTATCTAAGTTCTTTGGAACCCTTTCCTAGGATATCAAATAAGAGTTTATAGTTAATGTGTTTTTATCATAAGTTGAAAATATTTTATATTTATATAGAATTTTGATACATTAGTAATTCATATTATACATATATTGAAATATGTATGCATTTGCATTGTGTTTTTATTGTTTTTACCTTTTTCATGCTATGTTTGTGTCGTGTGATCCTCTTATGTCTACTATTGTTGATGTCTTATTTTTTTCTACTTATTTGTTTCCTTTTTTTTTATCATTGAAATGGAAAAGTAATTAGTAAAAGAAACAAATTACATTTGAGAAATTAGTTATATCTAATGTAAAACTGATATTCAAGTTCAGTATTTTCTATGTAAACAATTTAATTATATTATAGAACATAATATATGATTTTTATTCTATATTATATTTTTTTTATATGCTAATGTAAATAATATATTTCCTAAATAGATGAACTCTATCATACCAAATGAACTGGCCAACTTAATTTGGATTGAGCTTGTTTGGTTAATCATAAGAAACATTTTTCTTTTCCTTTTTTAATTTTTTTTTACTGATATTTCTTGATTTGAATTTAATTGCTACATCGGGGAATGGTCGAAAGGGTAATTTAGTTCAAAACACGACTATTTTGCCACAGTCAGGCCAACGGAAGCGTATCAATCCTTCGGATTCTCCTACAAGTTTGGTACAAATCCTGTGGACCTTTTTCTGTTTCTGGATTGTTTTTGAAAGATTTTTTTTGACATTGAAGGCAAATAAGGAAGGATCTTTCTTTTTAATTATTCTAAAATGGTTCCTTTCTTTCTCACTTTTTGTTCAGTCTCGATTAGAATCCGCAAAATGGAATGATTTGGTCTCAACGAGTTCTTTTTCAGAAGCTGAACTTTTGGAGGTTAGATTTTGGATAATTTGAACTTCTTTTTAGTATGTGGAAGTTTTAATCACTGCTACGGCCGGGAAAAGAAACTGAGAAAAATTGAAATCAGTACTGTAGTGTTTTGTTTCAAATCTGTTTTAATTGAATTTGGTTCGGTTCTAGTCCAGACTCTGGATAGTATATAAAAACAGTTATTCAGTTTTTGTTGAGGAATTAAAAGCCTGGACCAAATCAATCCAAATTTGTAGAATCCAATTTCCTATGACATTTGATTCATCTTCTTTTCATTTCTTAAGAAAATCAAAATACTGAACTGTCACTGTAATTTCTTTCTAAAATTGGACTATTATTACCATATCTCCAGCTAAGTGCTTTAATCCTAGACTAAGTGTTTAATATTTGATTGTCAAATCTGATCAGTTTATTAGTTTACATGTCAAAATCTGCTGAAACACTTTGTTTGTCCTGCCCTATTTTTCAAGTCACTCGAAGGGGATAATTTGGTGGGAGATGCTTCTGCTGCTGGTGACATATACAGAACTGTTAAATCTGAAGTGAGACGGGCTATTTCTGACATCCAAAATGAGCTTCAGGTTGTAAGTTATTTTGGTTTCTTGGATCCAAAATTCTCCTTTGGGTCCGTAGATGGATGCCTTTTTCTTTGAAGCTGCTTTTCTCTACACGTTATTGAAAATTATGACCCTCCTAATACAAAGAGAACATTGTTGTATTCAACACTCATACTTGGTTTGAGTAAAATAGTTTGTAAATCGTCTGGAAAAGAAAGCAAATACTTGATTTTGGTATTAGTTATTTTGCTCACAGCTTCTGACTGTGTTCTTCAGGCTTACCTAGTACATAGCTCGAGCTCTATTCCAGTCAATGGTTTGTTGATTCTTATGATTTCAGGCTATCAGGAGGAGTAATCCAACTACTGACGTGGTCGAGTTAGTGTCAGACATACAGCATGAATATGCCGCAAACTCGAGCAGGTAATTTTTTCTTGCTATCTTCCCTTTACGGTTAAGAACATTTACCATTATGCTACAAACACGGACACATGTTTGGGAGGTAATGGCTGCAAATCAATATACTCAAGACTCTGGTGCGAGTGTCGATTTAGAATTAGGTAGCGTTTAAAGAGAAGTGTGTGATATTTGAGTTAAAGAGATATGCAAGAGGCGATGATGGGTGCTGCCATGTTTATAAGACGACTAGTATCTATCTAAAATAACATATTAACCTTTTTTTTTGGATAAAAATAACATATTAACATTGCTGTACAGTATGTGATGCCATGTTTTTTGAACTCTCTTATCTTTGTTCTGTTAAATTCTTTTCTACCCTTTCAGTATGTATTAATGAATGCTATGGAGAACCCATTGAGTGCCCTCAGTGGTAAAAGGGACTGTTTTCCTCCCTAGAGGACTCGAGTTTGAGCAATTTTATTTGCAGGGTGCACGCGTGTTGTCATAGGTTAAGAAAAATTCTGAACAGATTGGTACATAGAGAATAAAAATTTGCAACTATGCAACAATTTTCAAAGTGGTTGATTTTTTAAAATAAAATTCTCACCTTTCCCCCCCCTCTCCCCCAAATTCCCCCTCTATTTTTTTTCATACTGTGCCAAATCCATTTCAGTCTGGATGTCAGGCAGATCAGCAATGTATCTCCCCTTGGTTGGCCATAAAGGCCCACGGCTTTGCTTCTTCTTCCCTCCTTCCCTCTCCCAATCTCCTGTGGCAAGGATACACAAGATAATCCGGTGATGGCTATGATTTTTTTACAATGTGCCCTGATTAGATTGGTTGTTCTGACCTTCTCAATCAATTAATAATGATGTTTAGTCCCAGAGCCAAATTACTTGACAGAATGGAAGTTCAAGCACATAAGTACACAATTTTGTTGTTTTAGGTACCAAATTTAATAGTGTGTGTTACAGTAGCTAAATCAATATTTAACTAATATATTTTCGTATTTCCTTACATTTGCAGTCCCAAGAACGTGCTAGACAACTTCGAGCTGACCTAGCTGTAGAGGAACACCGGGGCATGGAGCTTAGCAGGATCTTGAAGGAAGTGCTTCCAGATTCCAAGGCTCCTAGCACAAAGAAATCTCGTCCACGAAGAAAAGTAAGATATAGTTTAAGACCAAATTCTCCTAAACAGTTTATATTTTACATTTCAACCACTATTTGTGCTTGTGAATGCCTATAATTGTTCAGATGTGGATTTGAGTCCTATTGGAATCATTTCAGATAATGTTTCATGCAGTTTACTGGGTTCTTTGTCCAAGAGAATTCATTTGATTCTGTTCTAGAACTATGCACTCTCATTTGTATATATTTCATTTTTAGTCGGAGTAACTTTCATTGCAATATACGCATATTTGCATCATTTAGAAATTTTAGGTAACAGTTCTTATTTTGGTTTTCCTATTTAGTTTGTTAATTCTAAATATTTAATGATGAATCCATTCATAGCATTAACGTCTCTGTTACTCAGACTTAGACGTAAGAGTCGGATATGAGTGTGTATGATACAGTTATGCTCGAGTTTTCCAAGATTTTCCATGTATTTGGAGGTATCATATCTTCACATCCATTTCAAATATGTATCGGCAAGTTAATGAACAGTTGAAGTGACAGTGTTACATAAGATAATGCATGCAAGTAGTTGATTTCATTGATCCTTTCCAGATAGTCTGCGGATATGTTGTTGGTCTTGAGTTCTTTGCTTGCTCTCTAAAATAAATTCTACGTAACTTTGGTGACAGTCTGTATTGAGAGAAGGAAGATATCAAAATGTCTGACTGACGATGCCCTTGCCTATTTCGATGAGTGTGTCTCGCTATCAACATTTGACGGTTCCGATTTCTCATCAGTAGAAGATCCACTCAAATGCGTGGGCACCGTCGAGTTGATGGAGTATCTTTTTCCGCATGCGAACTCAACCATTCCAGCCACCAGTCTCCCTAGTATTCATCTCCATGATACACAGGTTAGTGTTTTTTTTATTCATATTTTAGTATGTTTTACGTTCTCTTTCATTATTTTTAAATCCAGGTGCATCAACTGATCGGCAAATCAAGTTATTTTGAGGTTATGTTTCTGAAAACCAATGTTACTCGAACTCGTATATTGTCGAGGCCTGCTTTGTAATTAGAAAATGAAGCTAGAAAAATGCACTGTTGAATGGTTGTCTATATTGTCCGAAAGATAAATTCGAAATCTTTCTATGTTTGCAGGAATGTCGGTTCACATTTGGCCATGATCCTTTGGATTTAACAGCCAGTAACAGCAGCATGAACAGACGAACAGACTCAAGACCTCTTCCATCCAAACACTACTAATAGCGAATGGAGTCGAAAAATCCGGTTTTCCTTTTCTCCTGAACCAGGTCCGATATGCGAGCTCCAACAAGACATTAAAAAGTATGTCAAAGGTTTCGAGAAAGACACCAGGAAGATTGACATTGATTCGAAGATCATAAGAAGAAATAGATATGATCTGGACGATTATAATTTGCAGACCTCGCAACAAAGCTTGTTGTTTGATCACGTGTTCCTAAAAAACAGGTTAGATTCTGGAAGTTTGCTTCTCTGCAACGGCGGATGTTTTTCAGCTTCAGTTTTGCCTTTTGCTTCTTTAATCTAAATTTTATTTTGTTCTGAACATAAATAAATTTGATATTATACTTCTAGTATTTGTTTTTGTATTTTCATATTAATTAAATTTCGTATTAGTATGTAAATTGTTTTTTTTGGTGTGCTAATTATCGTATCGAATTAAAATGAAGTTTATTTATTTTTTGCTATTATAAAAATAGCATTCTCTTTTATTTATTTTATTGATATTTAGGTTCCGTTTTGTATGGCTTTCTATACGCATTTTTAGTTAAAAATTTCATTTTTACCGTAAAATCAATGTCAAACGGTTAAAAAATGAAAAAAAATGTTACGGTAGAAACAGTGGTTTCAAACTAATCGTAAAATTTTAAGATTTGTAGCTTTTTTATTTTCAGTTTTGTGTTCAACCAAATTATAATTTTACCTTTGTTTTACTCAATTATGTATTCACATTTATTTAATAATTTAGGTCTCGTTTGGTGTGGATTTCTAAACGCACTTTAACTAAAAGTTCATTTTGATTATGAAATTGATGACAAGTAAGTGAAAAAACAAAAATAAATTACGGTGAAAGCGAAGGTTTCAAGTTAATCGTAAAAGGTTAAGATTTGAAGTTTTTTCATTTTCAACTTTTTGTGTGGAAGTAAATTATAATTTTACCCTTACTAAAAAATGACTTCATTTAATTATATATTTACATTTTATTTTAATAATTTAATATTAACATCCTTAAAAAATAATTTATTACTTAATAATTTATTTTAATTACTTAAAAAAGTGAACAAAATTTATGTTTATATTAAAATTCACTTTAATTTACAAACAGTGATGTAATTTTTGTAATATTTTTTTTTGTCAGAACAATAATTAAATTATTATTTTGTAATAATTTTATATCCACATGTTAAAAAGTATTGATAATATATTTTTCTTAATAAAATATGTTATTTATAAAAATATTATTTATGAGTTACCTAAAAATATTTTTTTATATTTTTATTATAATTTAAGTTGATATATTTTATATATCATATTATTAATAAGTATAAATATAATTTAAATTATATATTTTTAATTTACTTCTATAATGAATATTTTATCTTTTCAATTTTTTTTAATAATAATTCTAAATACTTAAATTTTAAAAGGTACTTTTAAAATTCACTTTTAGAAAATCTTTTACAATACTTTTAAAAGTTAATTTTCAAAAATTCTTTCGAATTGACTCTTAATTGATGTAATTGAAGATGAATTTATTAATGATCTAAAGTATAAAGCAAAGAAACTACGACCCATATGAAAAAAAATAGTTTTCCCATAATTCACTATCATATATTTAGGATTTTTTTAGTTATTAATAGTATACATATATATTCTAAAAAATATAATTGCTTAATTTTATTTAAAAATAATTTTATTCTAAAAATATAATTTTATTTTATTTAAATATGATTTTATTTTATTTTATTTAAATATAATTTTATCTAAAATATAATTAAACTTAAAACTAAAAATCAATAATAAAATCGATAAAGATTTAATGTTTAATGACTGAAGTTGTAGTTTAACCTAGTTTATTAATAAGTTTTCTAAAAAGTTGCATTATTATCTTTTATCCTCGTTGCAAATTGAAATAGGGTTTTGTTGTTGTAAAAACTTGCGTTATTATGGAAACCACTCTGAGCCATGGATACATAAAAGACAATATTGGCCGTTGGATCAAAAGTGATATAAATCTAAATCTCACAAAACCATACGGGTCTTCACGGCGGCGCCACTCTGTTTCTTTGTCTATCTGACTCTCTAGTCTCTTTCAAACAATCCGATTTCTAATTTTCTGACAACCCGACCTGAAGCAGGAAAGATCCAAAAGAAGCCAAGTTCCTTCATCCAGGTGGCCATTTTGCCTTTAATTTCATTTTATTTTTCCCATTTTTATAGTTTTGATTTTAGAGTTCAAATAAATGTCAGAGCTGTCGCTTTAGTGCTGATTTTTTCTGCTTGAATCTCCAGATGGCCGACGAAATTAACAAAACTGTAAGAATGAATATTTCTCTTGGTTTGTTTTCTTTAAACGATTCGTTATTTGATTTGATTACCGGAAAATTGAAAAGAAGTGAGGGGATATATCAGAAATGTTAATGATATGTGGATACAGGCGTTTGTAGAGATTCAAGGTCGAATGATTGAGCTCACCGGCAAATTAAAACAGGTAATTTTTTTTTTCAGATTAGTAGTCTATAGATTACTCGAACTTCTCATTCTCCCCCCTAAATTGCTTATGCCTGTCTTATATTCGTACCACAAATACATTTCTGACATTCACATCAGAATATGAGTAACATTGTTAGTATTATGACTCTGTCGTCATTGTTTATGTATCCAATAAATTTTTCCTTGGCCGAAGATTTTATTTATAATTGTTGAATGGAGGAACTAGTAGAAATGGATTGAAAACAGGGACTTGTTTTCTCCCTCTCTCTCTAATTATATATAGCTTGTATACTGTAGAGCTAACTTGATAAAGTTATGTAAGGTTGTAGGAATTATAGAATGAGCTGTTCAATTCCTTAAATTTAGAGATTCTGTAATTCTTTATTTTTCAATCCCTTGTTTCAAGGGATTACATCTCCTAGGATTAGTATCTTTCCTAACTTAGTTTCCTAGTTTAGAGGCATTATTTGTATATAAATATATAATATGCTACTGAATTAAATAAGAAAAAATAACAGACTTGTCTGTTTTCTACATTCTGTTTTATACAGTCTGTTTTCTACATGGTATCAGGTTAGAACGATCAATCCGATTTTCGCTTCTCTTTAAATCAATTCCTGTTCAATTCTATTTTTTTTCATGGCTAATCCGGATCCCTCAGCATCTGAAATCACTTCCCAGATCAGCCCCTATCAATCTGATTTTCAGATTCCTGTCTTTCACCAATAACCTCCAACAAACTAAATGGGAACAACTACCTACCATGGTCCCAGTCCGTACGGCTATATATCACAAGAAGAAGGAAAATCACCTATCTTTCTGACTCAATGCCGATTCCAGAAGAAACAGACCCAAAGTACAGTACATGGCAGAGTGAAAATACCATGATAATGTCATGGTTAATAAATTCCATGATTCCTGAGGTAGGGGAGAATTTCATGCTGTATCAAACTGCTGGCAGAAATTTGGAATGCAGCGCGAGATACTTCCAGTGCTGACAATACATCGAAGCTCTTTGGGATTGAGAATCACATTAAAGATCTCAGACAATGAGACCTTAATGTCGCACAGTACTTCGGAATTCTCAACAAGTATTGGCAGCAAATCGACTTATATGAAAAGAATGAATGGAAGGCCAGGAAGACAACAACTTCTACAACAGACAAATCAGAGGAGAGTTTTTCAGTTTTATCTAGACTGAATGGAGAGTTCGATGGAGCAAGAGGAAGGATTCTTGCCACCAAACCCCTTCTTTTGGTCCGAGAAGTTTTTTCAGAGATTCGGAGGGAGGAAAGCGACGATCTCTGATGGTGCCACCAGTTCAGCGAACAGATGCTTCTGCGCTTGTCACCAGTTCCACCTCTAGGAAGCAAAGGAAAAAAATCGCCCCTGGTGTGAACATTGTAAGAAACCAGGCCATATGATAGATCAATGTTGGAAGTTGCACGGAAAACCAGCCGATCGACAGCCCACAAGGTCCAGGTTTCAAAAAGAGGCCCATATTGCCTCTCAAGATGATTCCTCCAGCAGTTTTAGCAAGAAACAGATAGAGGAGCTGCAGCAGATTTTGAGCAGTATGACAGCCAAACCTACCAATGTGGCTATACTGCTACTGAAGGTAATCATTCATATACTTCCTCGGTACAATGGATAATAGACTTGGGTGCATCAGATCATATGACAGGAAATGTTGATCTCTTGGAGGAATATAGTGAAAGAAGCTTACCAACTTCTATAAAAATAGCAGATGGCTCTCTCACTACAGTCAAAGGGAGTGGTTCTGTTACATTAAACAAAAATCTACTACTTCATAATGCCCTCTATGTTCCTAAACTTGCATGCAATCTGTTGTCAGTCAGCAAATTAATTCAAGATTATGGTTGTAATGTTGTGTTTGGAACTGGTGGTTGTATTTTTCAGGCACAGGACTCGAAGAGGGTGATTGGCAGTGCTAGGCTGGGCAAAGGATTGTACACCGTTGGAGGTCACGCATCTCAAAATCATGCCTTATCCAGTGCTCTTAGGAAACCAGTTTTATCTTCTGATCTCAATACCGATAAAATTATATTATGGCACTGTAGATTAGGTCATCCTAGTTTTTTCTATCTTTCCAAAATGTTACCAAACTTATTTATAAATAAAGATCCTTCTTTGTTTTCCTGTGAAATTTGTCAAATAGCCAAACACACCCGAAAATCATATATTGCAGCCAAATTTGAACCAACACCTTTTTCCATCATCCATAGTGACATTTGGGCCCTTCTCCTATCAAAAGTTTTCTGGGTATAAGTTTGTGTCTTTTATAGATGATTACTCTAGGACAACATGGGTATTCTTAATGAGAGAAAAGTTGAGGTTGAGTCTCTCTTTAAAAGTTTTTATCAAAAAGCTGAAACTCAATTTGACACAAAAATCAAATTCTAAGGAGTGAGAATGGGAGTGAGTATTTGAATAAAACCCTTGGGCATTTCTTTAAGGAAAATGCATTGTTCACCTTAATTCTTGTGTCAACACACCTCATCAAAACGGGGTAGCAGAAAGGAAAATAGACATCTTCTAGAGGTTACTCGGTCTCTTATGTTTGATGCTAATGCTCCTAAGTATCTTTGGGGGGAAGCTCTTCTTACAGCCCTTACCTCATCAATAGAATGCCAAGTAAGACCTTAGATTTCAAATTCCTACTAAGGTTTTGCTTCAGCTTTATCCCCATTTTAAACATTTAAACTCAAGTTTTTCTCCACGGGTGTTTGGGTGTACATCCTTTTCATATCCACAACAGAGGGAAATTAGATCCTAGGTACATAAGTGTGTGTTCTTGGGCTATTCTTCGAGTCAGAAGGGTTACAAGTGTTACTCACCTTCCACAAAAAGAC